TATAAATATATATATATATATATATGTTGAAATTCATGCATTTTTTGCATAGTATACGTGTTCTATGAATTTTTTGAAGACCCCTTCATACACAACTATAAATGTTTGCTATTATTATTTATTGTTTATATAGAATTATTTTACTTGACTTTATTATTATTATTTAGTATTTTCAGAGAGAGAGACAGAGAGAGAGAGAGAAAGCAAGCCTCCAGGTCCAGGACTTGAACCACGGTCGGCCATGTGGGAATCCAGTGTCCTTAACCACCACACCACCTGCTGACCTTGCTATTATAAATTATTCTAACAAAAGAGTTTTGAAAGAAAAGTGATATAGTCCAGTTTGCATACTTTAACAAACATTTCTGCCAGAGGACACACAGCGTTCACCAGAGAAAGACAGAGAGAGGGAGAGGGAGAAAGCAGCCCTTTTGGGAAACGGTCAGGTCTCAGTCCCTTCTCCTCCATCTCTGTCCGCTCAGGGTCTGGGGTATGCACATGCGCCAGGCAGTTTTTTCAAGCCGCTGAGTTCAGGACTAAAACTGTGGAGCCAACCATGTGGGATCTGCTCCCTTAACCACTAGGCCAAGGAGCTGGTCCCGGTCTGCATTTTAAACGTCTCTGCAATGGTGGGGTGGACATGGCCTGCAGGAACCAGGCAGGACAGTGAGGGGCACTGGTCCGGGGGGCACAAGGGTGGCCTGGATAAGAGTGGGGGCTGTGGGGGTGGGGAGTGGGAGGATCGGAATCGTATTTAGCAGTGAGGCTGAAAGAATGTGGGTTGGAAATCAGAGTGAGGATGAGGATGGGGGAAAGGCTCTAAGGCTTTTGGCTGGGCCCCTGAACGAAGGGTGGTAGGGGCTTTTGTAAGATATGATACTGGGCCCTCGGGGCCGGCAGGTGGCGTGGAGGCTAACGGTGCTGGACTCCCATGTGGCCAACTGCAGTTCAAGTCCTGGGCTTGGCAGGTTGCTTTCTCATTCTCTCTCTTTCTCTCTCTGGTCAAATTAAAA